CAATTGCCAATTAATTGCCCAGAGTCACTTGTCTGAGATGGGTAGCCATATAAATGAACAATAAATAAAATCTAAAAGCCTACTAAAGTAACCTTTTTCGTTAAAAGTATTCATTTTGGAGGACTAAAAACAGAAACTTGATGTATGAAATTCCTGAATTCCAGTGTTTTGCAAAAACATTTTAAAAGGTAAAATCAGAAGTATGTAGCATTCTCATATACCTGCTTGCAATCACTGGGGTGTTTTGAGAAAGGAACAGAAAAAGAGCTGCGAAGATTCTCACTAAAAGTGAACCAGTCCCACATTGGGAAAAAATTATTCAATGATACCCATATCTTACCTTGATATTATCCAATGTGTGGAATTAAAACTCACAAAATAATGACAACACCTGGATATCCTATTAATTTGCTGTAATTAATATTGCATAATATTGAACATTAAAAAGTCTACCTGAAAACAGTTTTGGCATCTTAATCAAGTAGGCACCAATACAACACCACAATCGTTTTTATGTTTAACAGCAGCACTATTTCCATTTCCCATGATTGCAGCAACACTGAAGTTATATCTTAACTCTGGACTGATTTATTTATTTAAAATACTTTTATTCCACATTTTAATAAAAGTATTCCCCAAATAACCACACCAAAATAATGTTATGCATTATATAATAAAATTATTATTAATATATATAATCTCACATTTGGTGAGATGGGTGGCTATATAAATTTCATTATTAAATTTGATTACTAAAACATTTATAGTTTTGGTAGTCTTTAAAGGAATAAAAATACATCAAATTACCAATTAGTATGGGATCACTAATTATTTTAGAAACGAAAGATAACCATGTAGTGTTTATGCAGGGGTGAGCTTAATAACAACAAATACCCTTTGGAGCTCATCAAAAATCTCTTTCAAGAAACAGCAGAACTCAAGTCTTTTCTCCCAACCAAAACATTAATGGATTCAGAAAAAGAACTCCTGTCACTATTCCACTTCCTGAACAAACTCATGTAGGTATAGTCGCCTATTTTAAAGGTCAACACAAGTATTTTCTTAAAGATTAGAAGAGAACAGACAGGTAGTGTAGCCGTTACAGGACTAGAATACTACAGAATGGTCCATGCACAACTATTTCTAGTCAGTTGCATTCTACTGTACCAGAAAGTACTAAATTATTTTTAGACAGCTCAATAAATCATGTTACAAATGACTTGATGTACCAGAGCATGTGCAATTGAGACAAACACTGCCAAACCTAAAAGGGTGACATCAAGTTTATTAATCTAAACTGACAAAAACACTTTTTAG